AAATTTATTGCACTTTTACGTATCACTATAAAATTGGATACGCTACATCAAAAATTGGATTATACTTTTGCGTATCACTTTTCCGTATCAAAAAATTGGATACCTTTGCGTATCACTTTGGATCGAAAATTTTGATCTTACCTTTGCGTATTACTTTTATGTATTACCATATCAAAAGAATTTACAGAAAAAAATGATACATACCCCATTGAGTTGTTTTTTTATTATTTTTCGATTTGAATTTTTTCGTGCATTTATTGTAAGAGGTGACAAAACTCTTACCTGAGATGAATCATTAGTTGAATGTGCCAATATCCCTTCACCTAGGGTATTCTACTATCTAGCTAGTACTTATTGGATGGAATATGTTTTTTTCGTAAATCGCATTACTAGATTCTGAAGTAGTGTTTTTATTATTGGTAATCGGTATGGAATCAAAAAGATTCTGAACCTCATCAGTTATCTTTGGCTTATATGATGGAAGAACTGGAACTATAGGATCGCGTGAATACCTAGTTATTTCATCTTGATTATCAAAACCAAGTCCTTTATATGGATTTTGGTCAACTTGGCATGAATATTTCCAAACTCTCTGTTCTTTAGATCCTATCAATTTTCGTTTGCTTTTTATAGTATAACCACAATAGTTGCCAGCAATTGCATTAATGGCCTTTATAGCTGATTTAAGATCCGGCATTTCTTTTGCATGAGATTTAAAGCCAAAGAGCAATAAAGATTGATTTCGAATTTCTATAAACCTTTCACGAGATGTCTCAAATGCAACTTTCACTTGATTATCAGAGAGAATTCGATCATCATCTATACCAGTAAAACCCAATGATTGGAAAAGCTCTCGTACAGCTTCCCAATGATTCGCTGAATATGTCTTACGTAAGACCTTTGCTACTGAATCCTCAAAATTATCTTTAGCATTATAGTAAGTATTTTCCCATTGCGCAATGTCCTTGGCCTTTAATCCTTCTATCGCACTGTTTTCATCATAACCTTGTTTGCGAAAATGGGACAGACGCAAGAAATGTTTCCTAGGTTCAGGTGGACAGAAGCGCTCCACAAGTTCTTTATTGCAGAGTTTATTCCAAGTCTCGATACTCATATCATTTCCGCCATAAAGATTCCACATATAAAAACGCTTAAGTGCCATAGTATCTGCAACTGAACGTTCTGAATCAAGTTTAAGGGATTCAGCTTCCTCAAGAACAAGATTTCGAGAAGTGGCGACTGCATCAGCCTTAATCTCATTACGAACTTTTTTACGATTCCCTATAATCTCTTTATTTTCGTCCATTTTTATTAATTTAAGACTTGCTCCAGTACTTGAAATAAGGCTACATGAAATCTCGATAAAATTTCTTGCAGAGAGACGTTTCCGATGTTCAACCTCAACAAATGATGTTACAGCGGGGGATTGATCAAGTTTATAGGAAACGCTATCTTTATCCCATTCACGATGCTCTTTAATTGCTGTAGGCGAATCATTGGGCCGAGCAACTGCAAGTTCTGCACAAATATTTTCATGACCTGGTGGGCGAGAAAGCTCATTGGAAATTTTTTGATAATAGAGAGAAAGTATACGCTTTTCACAATCACGAATTCTGAACATCATCTGGATAAATGATTCGACATTAACTGGAGTTCCAATATTTGTAATGCCTATAACTATGTCAAAGTGATTAGGTTTCTCGAAAGAAATGCCCGCTTCTACTGTGTTTGTATAAGCTACACAATCGAGTTCGCCCCAAGCAGTATTAATATCTAAAAAGTCTTTTTTTCGTTGTTTTCCATCCATATCTCCATAATAGGCACGAGCTTTAAAAGATAATTTAGAAGCCTTTTTTACTAATGCTCGAGCCATGTTAGAGCTAGTTACAACAAATGCTACGCGTTTACCTTGTTCTAGAAACTCAAATCCTATTCGCATAGCTTCAGCCCCGCTATTTGGATCATAAAGATACTCAACAGTCTTACCTATAAGAGGCTGAAATTTATTATCAATTACTTGGATATTTTCACCACGATAGGCTTTGAGGAAGGCTAATGTTGACTCGTTTGCAAAGGCGTCCATTGCTAAAACATGTTGGGTCGATTTTAACACATCACACATTGCATTCTCGGATTCTCTTGCTTTTGCACCACTATTCATTTGGCGAAAAATTGCATTGATTTCATCCAAAACAGCTACAATCGGACATGCTGAGAATTCGATACGAGAAAGGCTTTCAACTTGGACTATAATAACATCCCATTTGTCTACAGATAAATTCCGTTCATCTTGATAATTACAGATTTTGAGCCCTGACGATTTAAGTTCATTAATTTTACCTTGTGATTAATTACTAGAAGTTTTTCGATAAGAGATCCAAATAATGGAAGGTAAATTTGCGCCATATTTAGTCGATGAATCGATAATTATTCTTAGACCTTTTGTTTTTCCTGTCATCATAGGAGAGCGGATAAGAGTTGTACTAGATTTTTCGCTCAAGAAATCCGGATAAGCTTCTGGTGCATCTTCCATTTCCTTCACGTTAATAATTTCTCCGGCTAATTCAGGAAGTGGACGTGGATTTGATACAGCATTGGCTATTCTTTTGATAATATTTTGTTTAGGTAACTCAACTGCTCTCGTTGCTTCACCAAATAATAACCCTTTGTGATCTGGTTTATATTGTTTTTGCCGAAAACATTTGAGTATAAAACGTCCGTCTTTTAGAAGAAACCCGTATAATTGATTTTTTTCATGTTTAACGTCACATATAGGGCATTCTTCAGATAATTGCGCATTAAAATTCATAAACCCCTTCCCGATAGTTCCAATCTCGAGCCACCCACATTTTGCAATAACCAAATTAGCTCCTTTAATAAGTGCATTATCATCATCGATAGGCTGGAATTTATCAGCCGGCTTTACAGAAGAAAAGGTTCGTGGCCAGATTACAGAATGATTCGATTTAGGCTGAACCAAATAATCTTCTAATTCGTAAAATCCATTCTTGAATGAAGATAATGCTGGTTTTTTTATTCTTTTTTCTTTTGCTGATCCAAGAAGTCAAAGACTAAAACGTAATTTGGGAAGGCCAATATCAATAAACTTCGAGTAAGGTTTTCCTACCAATTCAATGACTTTTTCCGTAAAGCCTTTGAGATCTCTATAGTCAATAAA